CCCCCCCCCCCCCCCCCCCCCCCCCCCCCCCCCCCCCTGTAAACTCGTTTCCCCAACCCCCTTGCGCACAGCTTCTGAAACCCAATCCTCCAACGATCCCATTTTTTTTTATTTTTTTTTTAAAGAAAAAAATCGTTTATAATAGCCAATGATAGAAAACTCTTCTGACTTGTAGCTCAGCTGAATTGTAGCTCAGCTGAATTGCTTACCATGAACTTTCCTCGAAGTTGCCTTCCTCTGTCCCCCTCCACAGTCATCATGTGTAGCTCCGGCTGCCAGTTTCAGAGCCACATTCAGCGCATCTTGAACTTTGTGGATAACAGCCGGCGTCAGAGGGTTTTTGAGCTCCTGAAAGGCAAACCCCATTTCAATTTAGGCACATATTAAAATAAAATTTAATAAATCTTCTGATTTCAATTCAACAAAAAGAAAAGAAACGAAAAGAAAAATTCGCTACGATCCTGACTACATTGTATTGCAACAACTCAGGAAAGATAACGCCGTTCATTTGCGACTGAAATGAAAGAAATTGGAGGAAGAGATATCAACAAAGGAACAGGAAGGAATAAGAATGGACGAAGAAGAAATAAAAATGGAAGAAGAAGAAGAAGAAGAAGAAGAAGAAGAAGAAGAAGAAGAAGAAGAAGAAGAAGATGAACATCAGCAAAGACCAATGCCGATCCCCTTTCATCTCGCCACCATCTCCAACCTCCAACTGCTCCCCCAACTTCTTCTTAACTATATAGAAAGAGTAGAGATGACAATGAAAGAAAGAACCGGTACCAATGTCCGAATACTCCGCTTACTGCCAGCCACTCAAGAGGTCCACCATAGCCATCTCTTACACCTTCCTCCTACTTGGTCAAGCAGGTGGCTATGGCGGATTATCGGAGAGAAGCTCCGATGTCCGAAAGACAGTGCAAAGCTTATGTGTCCCTCCTACTCTGGCCGCCATGCCTATCACTCAGGCCAAAGTCTTCCTTGTCAGTGCCAACCCCAACTGGGCCCTTCCAGGTGCAGCCCCAACCAAGAAGATGAGACACACAACCATAGCCAGGTACGCTCCCCCGTCACTGTTCTCATTGCTCACCTTCTTTCTCCTCCTCCTCCTCCTCCTCCTACTCCCAAGGAGTCTCCTCCTTGGTCCTCTCCACCATAGCCAAGGTGGAAGGCCATCGCCGCCTTCTTCCTCACCCAGCGCTGCCTCAGCTGGGTGCTCGTGCCAGCAGCGTGTGCCTCCAAACTGGCACACAAGCACATGAGGCTGACCCTCGTGCCCCCATACCTGCCGACCGCCAACCGTATTGCGGCCGACCAGTAGGGCCGACCAGTCAGAAAACAACCATCCACTGATTTTTTTTCAAATCTGAGTTGGGGGCTGTACAGCTCTTGATT